TTTGTAACATGCTTACCCTCTCAGACTCAGTGTTCAGCTCAGGAAAAGCATCACCCTAAGAAAAGGGAAGCGAGAGGGAATATGAAACTTAAGACACGATGCAGTGATGACAGTAATAAACTGATGGGCATCTCACCAGTATATGAGCTACAGTAGGCACCAGGCTTGCTAGCGTACCCTCTGGGGCCTGCAGCACTTCTGTAGAAAACCTTACGGCACGTCTCAAGATACGTCTTAACACCAGCCTATCACAAAGACGGCATATTTCAGAAATTGTATGTGTTAAATTTACCCTGCATACTTCCATGAAGTCAAACTCACTCAGCGCCTGTCATGCCTGGATAAATTCCGTCAGCGATACACACGCAGATTGTTCGAATGTGGTCCGCCACGACCCGATAGGCCATGTCCACCTGACCCGCATCGGCCTCTCCAGTCCTGCCCTGATATGCAGGAGCCTTAGAGCCCTACATGCACAAACAGAGATAATGTGGCTTCATTTATATTGAACCTGGAATATTATTCTTTTAAAATGTTAAATGAAGGTTAGAGAAGAGACCTGGTGGATGGCGGACAATAGAGGTGTGAAAAGATCTGTGTCATAATTGGAGCGTTTTCCCTGCAGTACGGTCACCAGTCGCTCTAAACCCATCCCAGTATCCACGCTGCACTGGGGCAGAGCTCGCAGGCTACCATTGCCCTCCCTATAACATAAAGAGAGTCCATTTTCAAATCCTCACAATGTGTGTTACTAACATATTATTTCACAAATAAATGGATGCAACAGGAAGGTTAAAATTGTTAACTAAATCCAAATAAATCATTTTTGTTAATTCAAATAATAAAGCTGAAATAAATTATAAATATTAGATGAAAAAAAAATCCATTTGGAAATGTTGCCTTGGCAACTAACTGAAATAAGTTGACGCTGAAGAAGGCACTAAAATTACTAACTGGAAATAAATAAAAACTAAAACTTAAATAAAAATAAAAAATAAAGTATTTTTATTATAATTTTGATCATATCTTCAGAGTGAACCATGCCATCCCCACAGAACAAGCTTTCACTGCACATAAAAAATAAATAAATATATATAAATGTAAAATAACACTGGAAGTGACTTTTCTAACCTGTTATACTGCATAAAAACTAGATTCCAGATTTCCACCACATCCGGACTGTCCGCATTGACCAGCGAGGTGGCGTTCCGATTCCCAACATGATCGTAGTGAATCTCCGTGCAAGGGCCACACGGACCTGTCTCGCCCATTTCCCAGAAATTATCCTTCATTCCAAACGGCAACACGTGATCCGGCTGCACTCTGCACGGGAATGCCACAACAATCCAGTGAATCTCCAACGGAAAACTAATCACTTTTGCTTTGAACTGCTTTGAACGTACCCTATGCTGAGCCAGATTTGCCGCGTTTCCTCATCGGCAGGGAGACCACTGGCCACGTCCCCAGAGAAGTACGAGACATACAAGCGCTCCGCAGGAATGCCGTACTCTTCCGTTAAAAGACGCCAGGCCATTGCACAGGCTTCCACCTGGATTGTGAATCATTCATTTATTCAAAAATACATGAACATGCTACAGAGCTGTATAATTATCGGGTTCAAATAACCCGTATGAATTGAATGAGTCCCAACTGACACAGTCCAGATACCCTACAGAGCCCATAATTGGATATAGTGATGAGAAAAAATTACAAATGAGATGGGAGGAAAAAATATATTTCAATGCATTTGCATTCACTCTCAAAACTTTTGCCTTCCCTGAGAAACTTTGCATTAGCTCGCAGGTGTGAGGGAAAACAATTTCAGGCTTTTTCTCTGGGATTGTGATGCTTTTGAGAAAGAACACAAAGTTTCTCTGGGACCTCAATACCTTTGAGAGAATGCTAAGTTTTTCCCCCATCTAGTACACAACATCTTTCCCACACATAACATCTTGAATAAACCTCTTGCACAATGAACATATTCATGAAATATTCATGAAATTTATTTTGATATTTTTTTAGGGTCGTAAAATGTCCTGATGTCACAAAGAAGAAGAAAAAAAAGCCTAATTAAAAGAACGAAATTATTTACCAAACCTTGAAGTAATCACCAAACGACCAGTTCCCCAGCATCTCGAAGAAGGTGTGATGGTACATGTCTTTCCCCACATCCTCCAGGTCGTTGTGTTTGCCTCCGGCACGGACACACTTCTGACTGTTCACCACCCGCCTGTATGATGCCATCTCACTGCGGGGGTCCGCACAGCCCAGGAAAATTGGCTTAAACTATGGGACAACAGTCAGAGACCATGATAACCTAACATCAAAATTATCATTACAGAAGACAACCGCCCCAAAAACACTTAAACCACACTTTAAAAATAAATGCACTTTTTAAATATTAAAAATATATAATAAAATAAATGAGAATAAATAACTTTAAAGTTTATATTATCCATCTAGTTTTTTGTTGTTGTTGCTTTATTTGTTTATTATATCTTTTTTAAAGAGTAAACCCAACATTTTCCTTACAGCATTACCATGATACGTGTCCAAAAAACACGTTTATACGTTTAATATCTTGCATGTATCATTATTGATTTTGAGTACCTGGTTCATTCCTGCATTGACGAACAGAAGACTGGGGTCTCCTCTCGGACGCACGGAGGAGGACGGCACCACTCGGTGTTCATAACCTTCCTTGAAAAAGTCGATAAACGTCCGCCGTACTCTTTTAAATGTGAATTCTTCATGAGATCTTGAGTAGGACAGGGCAGAGCATGTTCTTATTCCCGTCAATAAAGTGCATAATTTTGCATTTGAAAGTGCACAGTGGAGCTGTTTCCCCAACACTATGCGCGCAGCCATCTTGCCGAGTCACAGCGTCAAACAGCAGCGTCCAATCAGCGACGAGAATGAGATGAAACTGAAGCTAAACATGACAATGAAGAAATATATTCAAATGTGTTATGTACATATATTATATTATTATTATAATGTGCAGAAAAAAATCTTATAAATAAAATATTAATCTTAAACGTGAGATTTGTGTAAAATTTTAAATGTATAAAACAATTATATTTACTAATTCAGTGTGTATATAGGCTACCGGTATATACAGTCAAACCAAAAATTATTCAGACACCAGATATAATTTTATATATATATATTTTTACTAGTGGGTGCAGGACACTATAGTTTATTTATGTAAGTGAGGATAGCAAAATAAAGTAAACTGACAGTATACCCAAAAATCCTTCATACAGTGGACTACCAGTAAAATTCATAAAAATTTGGGACCAAAAATTATTCAGACTTTTCTTTTTTTCACTTTTCAATTGTCTTTAATGGCTAATGTGACATTTTTACACCACAGGCTGAACAAAATTAAGCATTGCTTGCAATTGGTTGACCTAAATTTGGTATTATCTAATTGTGAACTTAAATTTAACAGCTATTCAACCTAATTTATTTGTGAGACAGTCTAACAGAAGGATGGCCAAAACCAGTGAAATGTCAACTGTCCTTTCTTGTCACTTGTAAACTATAGCAAATAAACTGTAATGTGAGAAATGTTGAAGGTGTCTGAATAAATTTTGGTTTGACTGTATATAACAGTGGGGAGAATTTTAAATCAGACAAATAATGTATTCATAAACTCAACTTACAAAGTGTTTAAAGTCCCCCTGTGGTGAAAATCAAGCTTTTAATGTTGTTTATATGTCTATGTGGTGTTTTCAATATGCTTTAAAACAATCCATTTGCAAATCCATAATTTAACACCATTGCTGAGTATTTTCTCCTTAAAACTGCAGTGAACCAATTACAGGGCCCTATCATACCGCGCAATGCAGCGCCCAGCACGAAGTGTGTTATGCTAGTTTCAGCCCGACGCAGTTATCATTTTCACGTCCTGCGCCACGTTGTTTAAATAGCAAATGCATTTGCGCCTATTTGTTCAACCATGGGCGTGCTGGTCTGAAAACGAGGTGTGTTCGGCGCGTTGCTATTTTTAAGGGAACTGAAGACTGCGCCATTGACCAACTGAAACCTGGTCGAAAGTCAATAGCGCAGTATTTTCTTTGTTATTTAAAGAGCGCGTTAGTAATGTGCGCGGGTCCACAACACAAGGACGCACAGCAGCACGCAAACTAGCCAAAATTAAAAATAAAAGGATTACAATGTAAAATATTAATATTGTGTTCATAAAAATATTGTGGAATCCAGCTTGTCCAGTAGATGGTCTGCTTGCGTGCTTTAACCTCGCGCACGAGCAGATCCGTTTCCTCTCCGCCGAAGCGTTCAGTCTTTCCGCTTGCAGTCTTTTCCTAAATGCGCTTGCACCATGCAGTTAGATCATTAAAATAGGGTCTCAAAAACGCGGTTTTGAATTGCTGGTGTTTCTGATGTCACAAACTACCTTGTAACCAATCGCGTTAACGTCACGTGTGATCGTCAACGAGGGGATCTCTAAGCTGGTGTGAGTGAGTGGAGGCGGGGCTAATTTACATATTCATAGAACCACATATACTAAATGAGGCAAGGGTGTAGAGTTACATTCAAGCTATTTTAAGGCATGAAGAATGATTTTTTTTTCAAGGAAAAGACATTTAAATGTGTCATTTTGGTGATCGGTGATACAATTATTGACTACAGACTGACTTTAAGTGCTTAAGTTATTAAACATCTCAGTGTTATATGAATGTAAAATTTTTTAATTAAATTATTGAATGTGGCCCTCAATATGAGCATATTTAATGAATCACACCAACAACCACCAGTTACAATACTTTTGTGGAAACCATGACATATATATATATATTATTTGAGTTATTTGATGAAAAGAAAGTTCACAAGAACAGCATTTATTTGAAATAGACTGTCTCCTTTGACCAATTTAATGCATTCTTGCTGAATAAAAATCTTATTGACCCCAAACTTTTGAACAGTAGTCTAATTGTTTTTTTTATTTTTAAGTAAAGTAGACCAACACACAAGTAAAAGTACATACAGTATTTTATTATTATATAATCACATTTGTTAACAGCCAACTACAAAAGTGTAGTAGCTTGTACTGCATTGCTGCAACATGAAATGTTCCTTCCTATGACTCTTATGAGAACATGCAAACAAAAGATAAAAAGAGCAATTGCACAAATCATCCTGTACTGTATCTTTCACTCAAGCACTCCTCCCTTTCAACACTGAGCGGTTTTGCAATAACTTTAGGAGGTGTTCAGTCACCTAATAACAGCTCCAATAAAACAAAAAATATATTATGCTTCCTCCCTTAACAATCCTCACTGGCTAACAGTCGGCACATTTGCCACAGTAGCAGAGAATACAGAAGTAAATAATGCATAAGAATAGTAAGGCACAAGGTTGTTGGATTTTTTCTGTCAAACAGACGTTCCTTCTTTTGACTCTTCAGTTTCCTGTAGAGAAAATCAAATGAATTAGACATCACAAAATCAACCTCCATTTAGTCACCATGAAATCAAATTAGAAAATTCTTGTTTTTTTATGGAATCTTGAGGTATTTATTTATTATGAATGATTTATCGTGCACATTTTTTATTTTTATTCATAGGCCCTCATAATCTTTAACCACAATAACTTCCCCTCCCTCTTGCAGCATCATCTCTTCTCTCATGATGCGTTTACTGGCGCAAGTGCGGGGCAACCTTTCACTCACATAAGATCGACCAATAGCAAAATACAACCATCCAATCGAATCCTGATGGACAAAATCAACTCCAGCCCTACATTTGTTCTTGTTTGACAAGCTGTTTCACTCGGATATACGTCACAATAGTGAAGAACAGACTAATAGCAGCTTCCGTTTCATGCTGACTTTAAATGTTATTACATACAATATATCCGTTTAGCATAGATTGAAGGCCTTACATTTTGTGTGCTTTCCTCTTGTGAATGTATAGGGAGTGTTAATAATGTACCTTGCCCTGTAACTGTTCCGGCAGGTTCTTCTCTTCATCCAGCTCTTCCTGAGAGCTCTTCAGGAGCTGCTGCAGTTCAGAGGCTGCCTGGCCGAGGTCTTGCGTCAGCTTCTTCTCTTTCTCCACTCTCTCCTGACATAGACACACACAAACCACACACCATCAGAGAGCGGAGATCTTCTATATGCTGGTCCACACCTGAGATTTTGAAGAGGTGTTGTAGGAACCTTTAGCTCTTCAGTTGGTCCTTCTCCAGCAGCTTTCAGCTCTTCTAACTGAGCCTCGAGATCTCTGTCGCACTTCTGCGCCTGAGTGGAAAAATACATGTGTGAGCACCCCAAGCATTTCAAATGCCATATAACAGTTTAAATTATATTCTAATTAAAACTTATTTAAAAGAAATTTAATTAAATATTTAATGAAAAAAAATATATATTAAATTTATAATAAATATAATAAACAAAAAAAGAAAAACAACAAACTAAAATTCAAATACTTGTAATTTAAAATAAAATGAATCAAAATAAATTGTATTTTTGTGTAAATGAAATAAAAAAAAATTCCAAAATAAAATTACAATAGTTAATTTAAATTAAAATCAATTAAAAACGAATCAAAACAAATTAAACTGAAAAACAAACCCAAATGAAATTAAATATTAAAACAAATTTAAAACAAAAGCAATTAAAACTCAACTGAAATCAAAATCACATTAACAATCTAAATAAAGTAAATATTAAATAGTTATAATTTATTAAAAGTAATTAATACATTTAAATATAAAGCAAATCCATAATCAAATAAGCAATAAAAAGCAAAAATTCCAGCTGCGTTTTCACAATTTAGACATTGAGGAGTAGAGATTCAAGTTTAGTTACAGTTACAATACCCACACACAGCATATGTATACATGTACACATGATGTGCATGTACTTGAACTGCTAAAGACAAAAAAAAAGCATGCCAGAAAACAGTCTTCAAGCTATGCGGAACATAATACATAACAGACATGCTACACCCTCCTTCACCAAGAGCCATTTATCAATGACAAAGAACACAGGATTCACAAAAAGCACAATGGGAGATGAAAAAGACTCACAGGCACTGCAGCAGATACAGTTAATACACACACAAGCAGTACTGACCTGAGTGGACGGTGTGCTCTTCTCGTTCTCTACCTGCCGACTCACTTCCTGTAGCTCCTGCTTGACCTGTAATGCACAGCACAGCTGTCACTCAAAGTCGAAAGCCGCATGTGCAACATAAGACAAACCGATGTTAAACTTACCAATGAAAGTTCTGCTCTCTGTTCCTGAGCCTCTGCTTTGGCTGATACCAGCTGGACCTGAGTTTCTGATAACAATGCCTTCAGCTGAGAAGAATACGACAAAATATTCAAACATGTTAATGTAAACGTCAGTGAGTCGTTTGATTACACAACAACGATGGACTAAAAACGTAAAAATATTTGGGTAACGCTTCCTATTACAGTCCTGTTACCCATGTACATACTATGTACTTATTATAGTAATTACAATTACTGGGTAATAACTAGGTACTAACCCTGAACCTAAGTACTGTACTGTAAAAGGAAGCGTTACCAATATTTGCTATCAAAACGATTCCCGTTCACACATATCCGGAAAAACGACTAAAACACTGTATTATTCATGCCAGGCCAGTAGATGGCGATGTCACATTGTAAAGAAGCACTACGCGCCTATAGACTGAACACGAAAAACATAAGGTCCCCATAAAAGTTTTCCGTTTTTTAGTTGTCATGTAAATGGCCCCTTAGACATATCTTCTCTTTTTAAATAAAACTCATTTAAACATAAATAAACATTAATATAATATAAACATTAAAAAAATGTATTTACACTTCCGGTCAAAACGGGAAACCTATACAGGAACCTCAGAGTCAGCGAGTCGTTTCACCTGAGACATTTCTTCTGCATACGTTTGACTGATGGTTATGGATTCCAGTTGTTTCTCCAGCTGGGCTTCCAAAAGCATCACCTGGCCCTTCAGCTACAGAGAACAGAGGAACAGTACGTTTCTACAAGTGCAGCGTGAACATTCATCAAAGCTTCTCCTTTTGCATTTCACAAAAAAAAAAAAAAAAAAAAGTTTAGAGCAACATGAGTCAGAAACCCAGTCCCCAAAAACAAAGAACAATGGCAAATGTAAGCATGAACCTGATTGGTGTCCTGTCTTTCCACATTTATCGTCTCCTCCAGGACCTTCACCTGATCCAGAGCCTGTGGAAGATTCACACTTCAGCACAACTGAAGTGTTGTAAACAGTCACGCAAATCCAGCGTCAGTGAAGGATGTTCTTACCGTCTGTTTTTGCTGCTCAGCATCTGTAACCTTTGACTTCCACATGAGCTCGCCGTCCTCCACACTACTCTGCAGAACTTTCAGCGTGCTCTCCTGTACAAAACACACAACATTCAGCCAAAACCCTTTTTAAAGGTCTTTTTAAGTCAAGACTGGAATCCGCAGACCATGAGGTGGCCATAACGAGTTTTGTTTTTGCAATAATAAATGTAACATTTACAGACTTTGATATCATTATGGTTTCATTCTTCTTCCTAAAAATAAACATCATGACATTAATAATGGATATTTTTCAGGTAGACAGTGAATAAAGTAAAGTACTCAATGTAAAATAACACTGGATAAATTAAACAGATGAATCCTTATTAAAATGTACAAAAGTTATTCAGTCAAGAGCAGTGAATGATTTTTCTCTTTGTCCTTTGTTGCTTGATTAACATTAAAAGCACAGACGGCAGCAGGAATATTAGGCTGCTGTCACTTTAAGACCCAATGCAAGGAACCAATATACTAATACACATCTTTCTCGATCATTTACATCCACTAAGCCATAACCAAATATGTTTTCCAGGATACTGGCCAAATTTTTTTGTGAATTTGTCCATTCAAGTGCAAGACGACATGAAAGAGAGCTAAATTCTGTATTTGTCTCTGTCTGAGACGCAGATTTCTGGGCCCGTGCTTCGGTTGTTGGCTTTCACTTTTGTGTCTTCTTGCGCTTTTGCCAATTAAGGCTTAAACTCTTGTGACCATGCAGCACTGGCGTGTCAACTGTCCCAAACGTCGCTCACGTTTGTTCACGTTCATGTTCTTACAACATTGCATAGAATTCATAAAAAATATTACTGGCCAACTGGAGATTGACACAGTTTATATAATCTCATTTGGCACTTGGTGAGTGTTAATTTTAGGCCCTGCTGACACCTACTGGCTTGGATGTATTAAGGTTTTGGTTTTGGTTTTAATTCCAACATGGCAGCCATCACTTTTAAATCACTTTTAAATCTCATGCAAGTGTAAATGAGTTTAAACATATCTGTAAATTTCGTAGAAAAAGCCTGCTTTAAAAGAAAAAAGTGTGGTCTATGTTTGCATGATAAATGTGTGCATGCCACCGTACCGTTTCACTGAGAGTTGATCTGTACTGCTCACACTCAGCCTGAAGTGACCTCTGTCTCTCTTCTGATAGGGCGAGTTTCTGCTGCAGATCCTGACACATAATCAGATAAACATGAGACATGAGAAGAGAACAACCGCGCAATGCAGGTATGTGTCCATAGAGATGATCTCTCACCGTCACATCTGAGCCGGACATTATGTGCTGCTGTTCTGCTGGACTCTGGTGATTTTCTGTCAGGTTCTTCTGTGCTTCATGTGTGAATGCTTCCAGCCAGTTTGTCTACAACATACATAGCAAATTAAAAAAACAGAGTATACAAAATACTATTTAATATTAAATTACCTGTGCTCTAAACTTATTCACATATTTAATACATATATTCACAGGCTCACTTTTCAGAAAGAAAAATAAAGGAATTCTAACCTGATGCGTTTCTATGCTGATGTGAGGGAAGAGCGTCTGGAAAGCGTTTCTGGTGTCTGTCTGGAAAGAGCTCAGCTGCTGCTCAACTTCACTCTACACACACATAAGCCTTTGATCACTAAATTAAATTATACATCAAAACATGTTTAATAGTTATAGCCAACTACAGCCTTTTGATGATAATGAACACCTCATTCATCATGGTTTGTGTGTATTGTGTAGAAAGCGCATGTTTATACTGTGTGTGTTTATATCAGGGTTACCTGTGCGGCCTTGGCCTGGCTCAGTCTTTCTTCACTCAGCCTCTCAGCAGCAGATAGGGCTTCCACTGTGGAATAGTTTTTATCTCGCAGTTCCTGAACACACACCACAATTAGATGTGGATGGATGGGTAGATGAATGTAGTGAGGGATAGATAGACAGGTACTTAAATATGATCTGAGAGGTAATCAATATGGATGGACGAGCAGGTTATATATGGACAGATGGGAAAGGCAGATATACATGGAAGTAGGTATGGATGAATGAGTGGGTATATATGGACAGATGGGTTGAGTAGATAGTAGTTAGATAAGGATGGACAGATAAATTCAGGTGTACCAATAGGTATATATGGACATGTTGGGTAGATGGAGGTAAAGGTAGGCTAGGTATGGTCAGACAGAGTGTGGATATGGATGGACAAATAGATATATTTGAATGGGCTGGGTAGATATGGACAGATATGTAGGTAGGCATGGACAGACAGGTAGATATAGACAGACGAGTGAGTAGATATGGATGGATATGCTGGGTAGATATGAATGGACACATGTAGGTAGATATGGATGGACGAGTTGGTATATATGAACAAGTTGGGTAGATATGGACGCACAGGTAAGGTAGATATGGTCAGACCGGCTGGGTAGATGTGAAAGAACCGATAGGTAAGCGTGGACAAACAGTTTGGGTAGATATGAACAGATGTAGATAGACCGGTATGTAGATACAGTGTGGACAGGTTGAATACATATGGATGGACGTGTAGATGAACTCACGTTGCTCTTGGCCTTCACTCGCTCCATCTCTTCTTTAAGCTGTTGAAGTTCCTCCTCCAGCGAGATCATGCGTGCGTCCTTCTCCAGACTGACAGACACGAAAACAAAAGTCAGTCATTATCAGAAGCATCCAGGAAAGAAAAAAAGAAGACAAATATCTGGAGGAATTGACAAAAGAGATCTCTTACTTCTCAAACGGCGGTTCAGCTTCATCAGTATCAGCCTGTGGATATAAAATGAAATACCAATTCACATGTATTACACACATGCAAATATTAACAAATGATCATATGCTCAACTCACACTTTCCATCTTCTCCAGCTGAGCCTGTAGAGATGCCACCGAATCTTCCTTTTCTTTCAGACTGAGGGATAGTAAGAAAGAAATGTATTTAATCCATATTGTCTCCAAAATATACTTGAAGAAAGCATCAGCTGTATTGTTTACCTAGCTTTCAGTTGGTCGATCTCAGCTGTGTATTCCCTTCGTTCCGTGTCCGCCTCATTAACCCTGAAAAGTCCATGTTTAGATCAGACACCAGAGAGTGGCACATTCACTGAGGTCTTAGAAACAACTGGTGTCATTGAATCGATCTTAATTTGAAGATAAATTCAATTCATCAAGTTGAAATAACAAAGACAGTACCTATTCTGAGTCTCCTCAGACTGAGCTCTCTTTAATGTGTCAAGCTCCTCCCTCCTCTGATTAAGCTCCGTCTCCATTGATGTCAGCTGGTCCTCCCTCTCTTTCAGACTACACACAATATATCAAAACATGGTGAATGTGGTTTCACCAAGTGAAATAAGTTCCAATTAGCCAATCAGATTTGAGGGACACATTTACCGTTTATGTCAAGTTTAGTCTTACAACCAGGGTTATAACTTATGGGTAGGGTTAGGGCAAACTTTTCAGGAAGCAAAATGTGTTGATCCAGGAACATGTCAATTAAAAATTAAACTGTAAATGTAGTGACTCAAATTAAATGTGAACAGTTTTACAATACCTGCTCCTCAACTGTTCAACCTCCTCGCAGTTGATATTCTATACAGAATCAAAATAGGGATGAGAATAGTATTGTTTGTTATTCCAAAAGTTACACGCAGAACAGTATGTGATATTAGCATCTCAATGATCATGTCAAAAACCTGGTTTTGCTGCATTACATTGGCAACTAGATCACAGTGCCAAATATTTGTACCTGGATCTCAGCCTGTACTGTTGCTTCTGTTTCCACAGAGGGCTTTTCCTCAGTAACCTGTGGTGTCTGAGACAGCTGTGCTCTCAATATCTCCAGCTCTTCACATCTGTCTTTCAGCTCTTTTTCTGTAACACGCATACGCTCCTGGAGTTCTGTAAACAGAAGTTATTTCCATCTTAAAAGGTACAAAAACATAAAATGCTACAACTAGAATATGCCCCCTTTAAATGTTTTTTTTTTTTCAACTCACTGTTTCCATTTGGAAACTGAGCCAAGGGAATGCATAATAAGTGAAACAAGATGTGTTTGAGAGTACTGACCAGTAAGGGTCTTGGTTTGCTCTTTTGATGCATCTACTTGAGTCTGTAGGGTGGTGCTTCCGTGCTGAGCCTCATGGAGTTCTTCACAGACTCGATCCAACTTCTGCTGCAGAGCCTTCTCTGCCTCCATACGGGACGCCTAACACAGACACAGAGGATTGTCAAAGGAATAGTTCACCCCAAAACAGCACCAAATATTGCCATACAATAAGTCAATTGCAAAGTTATTGTACAGATTCAGACTTGGAACCTGATAGCCCCTGTTCACCATCTACTTTCATTGTATATGCATGCAGGTTTGGAACAACAAATGTAAATAAACTGAGCAATTCCAACAGGGTCCTCACACCACCAGTGCTCGGGCCCTAATGATGACTTTTGACGAACTGTCTCTTTAATATCAAAGAATGTATTATTGCTAAACATCCAACATGGGAGTTTAGCCACAGGGGTTTACATTTCTTGCATAGCTAAGCTGGGGGGAAAAAACCCTAAAATAAATACACACACGAACAGACAAAATGTCCTGAAAGAAATACAAGTCATCACAAAGACAGATAGGAATTGCTTTTAAAGTTAATGTATATGGTGAAATTCCTACCTAGGGCAACAGAATTGCCATGGTACAAAGACCACAATCACCTAAAAGAGATGAGATAAAAGGAAAAAGGTCAGGGCTTACTTGTGTTTGTGCTAGCTGTTCTTCAGCAGTGGACATCTTGGTTTCAAGAGTCTTCCTGCGCTCTTCCTCAGCATGCTGAGCAGCCGTGCGCTCATTCAGCTCTCGGTTTAGACGCACACAATCCTGACGCAGCTTTGCCAACTCTGCATTCTGCCTGTGCATGTGGAAAGGCCACAGATTTACAAAAGGGAAATGGTTAGATAATACATTTTATAGCTGGAGGCAGGTTTAGTGTTAGCTTGAGTTGTTTAGCTTTTATTTTATGGCTTTTGCCAGGAAATTACAAGGGGAGAAAGAGGGGGAATGGGATCAGTACATGACACAGGTTAGATTTGAACCTGCATCTCCAAAAATGAGCACTAAGGATAATAAATGTTCTGTCATTTCTGTACCAATTAAATGTAAATAAATGTAAATTAGATTTTTATATTTTCTGAAGAAAAACCTTTGATGCTTGCCTGGGCAAAATGAGGGGGCATGGTTTGTCAATGCGTTGCTATGTGATTGCTAAGGTCTTCTGAGTGTGTTTTAGCAATATGGTTGTTATAAGGTGATCTGGACAATTGCTTACTGCCCCCCCCCCCCCCAAAAAAAACCATGCTCAAATCTCTGGTCTCTAGAAATGGATGAGGTCCCTTCCACCCGTTTTGGTTGGCATCCACCAGGCGAAATCCTAAGTATGGCTTAGGGCCCATTCACACCAAGGACGAGAACTATGAAGATAAAGCTTTAATAATAGTTCTTATTCTATAAGAATAGTGAAGTATACACCACAGCTATAAACAATAATGACACAGAGGAACTGTGACTCAGATATAATGACTCAATCAGAATTCTCTCTAATTGAAAGATCTCAAGATTTAAAGCGTCATAAGTCTGCACTTATAAATAAACAACATTATCATCCGTTGGTGTTGTGTTGGTATTCATGTCCGTAGAGAGGCGTAAAGAATTACCCCAAAATGTTGATACTTCATCGGTTTCACTGTAAGGGTTTAAAAAGGGACTATGTTTAATACCTGCTTTCAGCCTGGCTAGTGGCTTGATTGAGGGCATCTCTGAGAATTGAGTTCTCTTGCTGCAGACGGGCCAGCTGAGCATTCGGACCATTCTCTAACTGCTCTTGCAGGCTTTGGATCTGGAAACACACATAAACAACTCCTTTAATAATCTAACAACACACTACACAGGATAGCAAGAGGGAAAAAAGTGTGAGAGGCTGTTGACTTGTGACCTTGCCGTTGAGCTGTTGTGTCTCGTTGATGTGCTCCTGGTAGGAAGTCTGCATTTGAGCCTGTAGAGCTGCGATCTCCTGGCCACGGGCGCTCAGCTCAGAGCTCATACGTGTCTCTAAGGATGTCATCTTGCCCTTTGAAGAACTCAGCTCCTATTGGCCAGAGCAATGAGAGTCAGAGATCTGGTTAATGACCAAGACCCTCAGGCTTAATGTCATTTTGACAAATAGAACATGTTCCTGATCAACATATTTATCAACCAATCAAATTTTTGAGATCGGGAAAAGGTTAGAATTAGGTGCTTAGGGTGGTGTGTTATCAACCAATCATATTTCTGATTTTTAGGTAGTAAATGGTTATGGTTGGAGCACAGGCATGGGTTTGGTTAAGACTAGTTTTCAACAGGAACATTGCTCCACCCATTCTCAAAACTCCTTGTTCTTTGTAGCTTCGCAGGGATGCTGGAGCGTATCCAAGAATCTCAGGCGTATGCAGGGAAATACCATGGATGGATGGCCAGTCCATCACTGAACATTGCTCCAGGACCAACAAAATTATTTTCAACAGTCACTCATGACCTTGCAGTGAAGAAGCTTGATTAGGTGTAGAAACTAGTTTGAACCTCATTGGTTTGTCTATGCTGGCACGTATTACCTTGGTAAGCTCTCGGACACGGTTTTTGGCTGCAGCTATGTTGCCCTGCTCAGCGGTCAACTGCTTTTCCTTCTCCTCCAGCTGCTTCTTCAACGGCGCCAAGGGGTCACCCTTCTGAGATGCCTGCCAATGAAAGAAGGAAAGAGACATGAGTGCTAATAGAAGGATACAAGTATTAGCAGTTTGAAGAAGGGTTTATTAGGTGTCGGCTTAGTACCAGTTGGCAGGAGTCCTTTCCTGCCTTCTTGCTGATGATCTCAAAGAGTTTCTGGGTCTCGGATTCACTGAACGATGCACTATTCAGACTGGAGACCAGAGTTTTATATGGTGACGGCTGGGGGACATCAACCGTTTCCACAAAAACCACTTAAAAAAAAAAATCTAAATTAGTATAGACTGATGCGAGCAGTGCAAGTTTGAACCCCTACTATTACCTATTACATCCGTCCTAGATTGATATGGACTCACCTGGCTCAGCTTTCTTCTTAGACTTCTTCTTGGTTGGAGCTTCAGTTTTGGGTTCTTCATTTTTAGGGGGAGCAGCAACCTCAGGAGCAACTGCTGCTTTCACCGCCACCGCCACCTCTGCAACCACTGGTTCCACCTTAACTACAACTTCTGGGACCTCCACAGGCTTGACGGGGGCCGGTTCCACCTTGGCCACCTTCTTCTTTTTCTTCTCTTTTGGGGAAGGAGCAAGTGGGGCCACCACAGCACTCACAGTAGGAGGGGCAGCACACTCAACAATCTTAGGAGATGGTTCAGGTACAACTGGCTTGGGCTTAACTTCAGGTTCAGGCTTGGGAACAGGCACAGGTTCAGGTTGGGGTTCTGCTTCAACTTCGAGTAATGGATTGGGTTCACTGTTTTCTACCACAGGTTCAGGGATGGACTCGGGCTCAGATTCTGGAAGGTTCCCATTTGGCTTCTCCTCCTTCTTCTTGGCCTTGTTTTTCTTTTCAGATACCCTTTTCTTCTTGTCAGAGCGCTGGGGTTGAATCTTGCCGGAGTCTTGCCGTTGTTTGGCCAGGGCTTCTTCGTAAGATGTCTCCTTCATGGAAAAAGTTGAAACGAGCGTAATGCCAATGGCGGAGAACACCATGAAGCCACCAAACACCACAATTCCCAGAGTTTGAGGGTCGTACACATCCATCTTTGCTCAGTCCTGTCCCTCCTAATCCTACAAAAGTACAAAAGCCATCAGCACCTTCTAAGAAAAAGGTTATGTTCTGTTGACACACTCAAATGTGCAAACAAGGACTATTTAATGTTAATGGACAACAACATCCTCTGAGCATTTCACACAAGAAGTCGTAGGACAGACTAAATAACCACTGCTAAAGTATATCCTGTAAAGTATCATTTTTGAACATTTCTCACAAATAAATGCCCCAATCAATAACTCCTGTCCAGTTGTAGATGTCTTTAATAAAAGTTTTGGAAGATGTTCTTTTTTTAGAATGTTTTCACTAAAGTTTTGTTAATGTTTCGTTGGCTAATACGACTGTGGTCTATGACTTTATACTGCCACATGCATGGATGCAGCATTGAGAAAAAGCAAAAGCTTTCAGTTACTGACAATAATATCCTATTCACCAGCATTTCTGTTACCTATAAGTCATTTATACTGCTTGGTCATGTATTTGGCTTCCACGAGGGGGCAAAAAAGATAAATAAATAATAAAAAGACCCTTCATTGCAGAGCTGAGTGGATGTCAGAATGTTTTTTTTGCCTTGAGACAATGTGAAAAAAAAAAGTTTGAAAAAAAGAAAAAAGTTATTTTCACTGACACCAGCACCTCCATATCTTTTGCCCACTAGAGTTCATGTTATGCAACACCCCGCAGAGACCACACTCTTCAACATTCCCTCACACAAACAGAGAGGGGCATACATACAGTTTCCAGGGGACAGGTCTGTGTGCAGCAGACCACAATAACCTTCCCCCAACCTCACGTTTTGACTAGCAGCCAGTGCAACTCTTGCGTGGAAGTTCTAGAGAGGGGTCTCTAAATACCTGACTCAGGCACTCAGGTAAGGGGGAGAATACTGACTGGGCTTGAATGAAATAGGCTACTCTTAACAGCATATAACTTATATGCATTATAATCTATTCACTGCTTTGCTTTTATTGAATAGCCTATAATGCAACCCATTACAAAAAAAGCAATGTGGCAGTAGTGATTACACACTACTTCTAGGGAACCTAGATTCTAGGGAATTAACATTGTATGAACTTATTTGAGGAACTCCTAGTATTATAATGGTGCATGTTCAAAATCATGGTAACGCTTCTGGTGATCATGAAAGCCTCAGATCTAGTTGTCATCAAAAACAAGCAAATACTTTTCTTTTTTTTTTACCATATAAACCACTTAGGTCTTGTTTTATCACAAAAGCCCATTTCTTGCAATTATTTTCCTAAAATGATCGATGTGGATAGATGGCTATCCTAAAATGGATCCATGTGACTCAGAAGAGAGAGGACTCAGCAGACACAGGAAATACAGAGTTCCTACATGCAGGAGCAGGACACATACTCCTCATCTCAAAGGGGGCTGTTTTCATATGTCGGACATTAACCCTTTCAGCAACATTGCTGAGTCGCTGACGTTGCATAATAATAATGGCTGAAAGAATTTAGTTTTTAAGAAGTATTTATGGGAACTTTGCCATAGGGTTATTTCCCCTTGTCCTCTTAATAATATTTATTTGCTTTGACAAAGTTTAGAAGGTTTTTCTTTTTTTTCTTTTTTAATCTTCTCCTCTTGAAAAATCATAGAATATTAAACACATTTTCATGATGATTACAAAAAAAAGAGCAAATGTAAAGTTCGTAAAAAATGAAGGTAAATAGAAATTTTGGATAATTATTAACATGATTCATTCATTAAATTTGTAGGAAGATACCATTAACTTTTAATGTTATCAATATTATTGTTAAAGCCTAAAAATGAACTTGCTCTTATGCTTGATGAAACACCTCCAAACTCGAATAGCATGTTAAATCAAATGTAAAAGACACACACACACACACACACACACAAAACAATACAGCTACAACTCAGAACGGTACAAAGGCAGTAAGCGCAGCAAGACATTATATAACGAAAGACTAAACCTATAAAGTGACAAAGTCAATGAAAGCATCAGTAAGGACACGTACGCTCGAGCAGAAGAAGAAGGATGCTTTGAATTAGATTATCACAATGCACAAGTTCAAACTATCTGAGAATACAAATTATTTTCAAATACAACCTAAACATCAATATCAAAACCATTTGTCAGACTGACAAACTTTTCACTGGTGGTGAAAAAACACATAACGGTGATAAAAAGCGTGCGCTTACCTGCGTTCAAATGTACAGTGATAAAGAATCGCCGCTGACTTTTGGAGTCGTGGCACTTTTTGCGAGTTGGCGCAGCGCCCGCCTCTGAAGCTTATTCGCGACCTGATACTGACATCTGATTGGATTAACGCCTGTCAATCAACGCCCTTTAAACCAATCGCGTCACGCATAGTATCCAAAAGCGTACGGTGGGAAGCGCAGAGGGCTGTGAGTATTCGGTGGGACGTCGGATGATAGCCTAAAAGTTTTTAAAATATTTAAACATAAAACAGACACTATAATACTGTAAAAGCATTACTTATGCATTAAAGTAATCAATTTTATAATACCACCCTTAAAGTACTTCAGTGGTATCATAGTACAGTCTACAGTTACTGCTCTGATAGTTTGATATGACAGGAAGACCACGGTTAACGTTAGATGTCACACTAACCCCTGTTAAATGCTTGCCTTAAAAAAACACTAATTTAGAGTTAAGGTGACTTTTTTTTTTCTTTTCTTTTTTTCTGTAGCCTATTGTCAGTCTTTCTTGACTGAACAGTCAAGAAGGGGAGAAAAGTGTAAAAAATGCTAGCTAGCAATTGCAAAACCCACTATCTTTTTCCGATCAGCTTGAATAAAGCTTAACTTAAATGACAATATGTTCCTCTCAAACATGTGTAGGTGATGTAATTATTAGCTCTGGAAAGACTTCCAGTAATCTGAGATAACTAAAGATTACACTGAGTGCAAAGAAATGTCACAGAGTAACTGAAAATCAATAGGCTACTTACTAATAATACTAAGTCTTAAGGTGTTGTGCTACTGTTTGTTAAGATGTAGGTTGTGCTGAAAGGCCTTGATATTAAGATGAGAAATAATTGACTGAAACTCTTCCCAAAAAGTGTGTTTTACCCCAGTCATTCATTAAACAAACAAGCATAGGGCCCGTGGCTGCCGTCTGTTTGCTAAGGATTAAAGTCTTTGCTAACAAACTTCTACTGTAGTTGTAATGTTTGTATGATTATAATAAGTGGTGCTTTCTAATGTGCAACTATATTCCACATATACTTAAGGTTAAAGATCTGAACAATCCAGTAAGATTGAGGTTTAAACTTCAGTGCGCAGCTCTGTTTGTGCTAGTGTAAATGACACCAACATGTAGCTTGTTGATGAGACGTGCAATTACTTTTTAAGTGGGCAGACTTACAAGTTTGGAACAGGAAAGAAAGAAAATGTTGCTTCAAGAAATGTGAAAATCTACTTGCGTATTATTAGTTTGCGGAAGCTCGTTTTCACCTTAGTGATACTATAGTGAGATATAAATGCAAATGCGAAAATTACGAAAAATAGTTGCAATTTTGGTAAACAACATTGAAATTAGGCCAAATAAAGTCACAATTATGGGAAGTAAAAACGCAATTGTTTGAGATATATTTGTAATTGCAAGATATAAAGCCACATTATGAGAAAAACAGTCGCAATTGCAAGATTTAAATTCTCATTGTGAGAAATAAAGTTGCAATTATGAGAAATAAAGGCACAATTGTTTGAGATAAATTTGCCATCATAAAATATAGTCACACTGTGATAAATAAAGTCACATTCACTGTAAAAAGTGATCGGTTGACTTAACTTAAAAAAAAAGTGAGGAAACCCATGGCCTTAAAATTAAGTAAGAAAACAATGCGTAATTGAAAAAAAATAAGTTATGTGGAATTGTCAAGTTCACATAACTAGTTTTTTTCAATACATAAAGTTTATTTACTTAATAATTTTACCGCAACGGGTTTCCTCACTTTTTTAAGTTAAGTCGATCACTTTTTACAGTGAACGTATTGTCACAATTACAAGAAACAAAGATGCAAAGTCTCATTGTGAGATATAAAGTCGCAATTGTGAGAAACAGTCACATTTCAAAATATAAAAATTCAGAGAGATATAAAGTCACATTGAGAGACAAAAAAAATAACACAATTATGAGATATAAAATTGCAATGACCTTGGAAACTGGCTTCTATTTTACTCATATAAATAGTGTTCACCCAAAGCATTGCTCCAAAGTTCATTGAATGTTTGAAGATACATCTAAAACACTGTTAACACATCCACCCACTCGCACTAACATAGAATGTTTCTTTTTCTCAGAAACAGGTTAAAGTGAGGCAAGGTAAAACATCTGGAGGCAGGCGGTTCACACATCGTTTCCAGACCTGATAAAGAAAAGGATAGTCTACAGATCAACAAACAGCCAGGGAATCGGTTTACTTGGTACCAAGACGTCCATTCCCAAGCTGATTTCTTCCAGGATGCTGCTGTGCTGAGTAGCACCCTGCTGATAAGTCTACTCCACTTTAAAGGTGTTGTTGTTGGCAGCACATCAAAACGGTATGAGACGGACCGAAAAAATGATGAAAGATGGAGAGAGGAGTCACTTATAATCATGTTTCTGTGTGCCAATACACACAACAGCAGCATTTCCGAGATACAATTCCCAATGTTCAAGACCAAAAAATCTAAAAATTGAAAGTGTTGAGGCAACATATTTGCTTAGGGTTCCCTATTTCCAAAATCTTTGTTTGAGCCCAAGCAGTTTATGGCCTTTGGGAACAACCAAAGCTCACAATTACAGAGCCGTGGAGGTGAGGGGGTGGAGTGGTGTTTGGGAAAGCTGGATGTTTGCTTTAGCTGTCACTGACTAGGGGGTGTCCCATCAAACAAACCTTTATGTCAGCCCCACAGCTGAGGAACTCAGAGCACCAGATGTGCATGTTCATCCTTCTGACTCAGGCTTTGACTCGCACAGACGCATACATATTTTCCACATGCAGTAAAACAATTACACTCTTAAAAATAAAGGTTCTTTATTAGCATCTGTGGTTCCACGAAGAACCTTTGGCATCCATGGAACATTTCAAATGCACAAAAGGTTCTTTATATTGGTTTGTTAAGATTTTAAAAATATTCTTCAAAGTAAGAAAATGATTCTTTGGGGAACCAAATATGGTTCTTTTATGGCATTGCGGTTTCCATTTATGTGCATGTCTTCTTACCGGATAAAAAAATGATCCGACTCAATTGAGTGCATACGTTTTTTATGTGCATTCTTAGAATTTATGCACATCTTTGCATTTCCAAACCGTGTTTTTTTTTTTTTAATGCGATATCCCAAAATGTGCATAAAAATAGGTGGATGGAAACATAAGCGCGGCTGTGGTCGGACATGTGAAATTCGGAATTTACTTTACTTGCAACAAAACATAAATGATTACAACGTATTTCGAGTAATTATCCCTATTTATTTCCAGTAAAATACATTGTTTTCTCAATTAGCATACACATATTTCTATAAACTGAGTTTAATTAACAATACTGTGAATGTCAAAATAATAAAGTCATCAACCACATTTTAATTACACATCAATATTGTTTTCAGAAAAAGGTTTTGATTTTAAAATTTAGTGTAAGCTAACATTTTAAATATTGATTTTGAATACAAACTGATGTTTAGAAGTCCATTTTAAGACATTTAAAGTAAATTAAAGCCTAAGTTGTTTTTTACACCATGATTAGTTATATAAAATATATTATACATTAGTGCTGTCAAATCAATTTATCACAATTAATCAGATTTAACATAACATTTTGTGCTATGCAATTAATCGATCTGACAGCACTAATATATATTTACACACATATATAATTACAAACTTTTATCTAAGATGCAATATGGTTGACATTTCAAATACTGATTATTGTATCATCTATTGAATAGCTCACACGTTGTGTATGATACACTGTAAAAAAAATTAAGGTTTCAAAATACTATAAAATAACCATTTTTTTCTTAGTATGAAGAACATTTAATAATCTAAAGAACCCTTTTCCCACTATAAAGAACCTTTCAATAGAAATGGTTTCATGGATGTTAAAGGTTCTTCATGGTATGCCAAGAGTGTAACATGTTCATGGGTGATTCATAAAAAATATAAAAAAAACATACACTTTAATTTAGGGAATATGCAGTTGAATTCATTTTTGTTTTATTTATACTTCCTTGAATTCACATTTGAATTACAAATCTGCATTCTGTTTTCTCCCACATTTCAAAGGGGAAAAGTGTTTGGAATGGCCAGACAAAATCCCGGGATGGTGTGCAGAATACACTATGACTCTTAACATGTGGATTCAGACTTTGGACAAGAAAAAAAGAGAGGAAGTGAAGAATGAGTGTAGGAACCAAAGTTGTTATTTCACATTCGCATTTCTACATTAGCGAAGACCTTCTTGTAACCCGCTGCCCTTTTATTGATTTTTGGTGACAGATCAATATATAATCAGTCTTAGTTTGCACCAGACATGGGATTTTGATAAAAACATGTTGGACTATAGATTGCAAGTAGTAAAGATAAACATTTAAATGCAATTAGGCCTACTGGAATAAACAGTTTTGCTTGGAATAGCTTATTTCTGCATATTATACATGCAGCGTATAGTATACATATTATGCAAATATATATACATTTGCCAAAAATGTGCAGTATACAACAGACTTAATATGTGGGATATATCGCAAAAATGATCAACACTTAATTTTCATTTTCCTTTGTGACTACCGTAATTATGACATCTCGGTCATTATTTGATAAAATAATTACATAAAATATTTGGTTATGTTGGATTGGTATACACTGGAAATCAAAAATATGTTTTAATTCAATACTGTGCAAAATATCCTAACAATTTGGCAGTACGATCAAATAATCAAGTGTAAATTGCGCATGCGCAGTGGGCGTATTGCCGCTCCTGGTCGGCAGGCGGCAGTAAAGAGCCTGATATCCGATTGAAACCAAACCACCACAAAGGATTCAGCTCCATTCTGTTATCAAAGTGCCCTAGCCATCTATTATCCTACTGTAGCTGTATTCACAGTAATGCATCATAACTATGTCTACGGTCTCTAAGCTTGTCTTGGGATTATCGGTAGTGCTCACTATCAGCACCGTTGCAGGCGTTCATCTCAAGCAGAACTGGGACAGACGGGTAAAACACTCTTGTCCTACTAGCCAAATGAGCACCATGCCTTTATGAGGCACTGTTATTGAAGTATCCATTCTGTTTAACCTTTAGTGTACAGTATGCGTGCAATCAAATTTTTTTTACTGTTTTGTCTTATGCAAAACATTTTACTGTAGTGACGCCGACGCTAAGTTAAGTTACTCGGGTATCTTGGCTGACATGTTCTGTTCAGAGGGAATCGTTTTATTCTCTGGCAGTTGTTTCAGTTTACGTGTGTAAGCTACTGCTTAATTAAAAAAAATACATTTATATAGAAACTGAACACAGATATCTTACCATTGTAATGAGCTACTGTAGCTTTACCTGTCATTATTATCAGGGGGTTACTTCAAATATCGCATCTTAGTATAAAACATGCAGTGTTTATATGTGAGATGATCATGTGTTCGCAGAGGCTGCACGACGGAGTGCTGCGCGACCTGGAGCGCGTGGAGCGGAAGCGCGAGAACCTGCGCGTGCTCGAGGAACAGATACTACTGACAAGAGAGCTCGTGGCCGCGCGAGACCGACAAGAGGCTGACACGCCGGGGACACACAGTTCATAAAACGACTGGTACAACACATATTACTATAACAGACATCCCAAGTCTCCCGGAAGTTCCGGGAGTCTCCCGCATATTGCTAGCGTCTCCCTGATGCCCGCAAATTAGTTAAAATCTCCCGGAATCTAGAGCGAGATAGAACATACTGCGCGCAGAGCTTTGAAAAACTCATATTTAACGGCTCTGACTGCGCGCATAACATAGCCTACAAAGCGCGCGGCGCGTGCAAGGCAGAGAGGGAGAGAGACCTTGCGAGTGTGCCTCAGGAAAGCTAAGGTTAGTCAACCCGACACACCATACCCCCCCCCCCCCCCCCCCCCCCCCCCACTTTTACAGTCTATGATGATTGTCACACACACACAAACTTAAAACATTCTTTTGATAAATAATAATGGTAGCACTTTGTTTTAAGGCGTAGTCACACGTTAATAAGTGTACGTCCTATAGTAATTACAGTAAATGCATAATTACAAGTAACTAACCCTAACTGTAACTCTATAGAAAGTAACGTTACATGAAGTTAATTCATATTACTCAGTAGTACTTATTTGAGTAAGTGCACTGTAACTGTCACCTTAAAATGAAGTGTAACCCTAATAATAAATGTTATTGTTTTCGTTGTATTTGACATATTGTAATCTTGTATGACACCAACATTTTAGATCAGGTAATTTCTATATCACAGTGAAAACTAGGCTACTTACATAGCTAATAACATTTTTAAAGACAAATAAACAGTCAAATGAACAAAATAATGCAATAGAAAAAAGATACAAATGAAACAAGCAAGAAATAAATGCTTAGGTTTAACAAAGTAGTATTCAGGTAAGAAATGCTACAGAATATGAAAAAATAATCAATTGCGAAATAACAACGCATAGTCTTCAGTGTATACATTAATCCTTATTAAAGCTGCAAAAGTTATTCAGTCAAAAGCATATTTTCTTTGATTAAAATTAACAACAGAGACGGCAGCGTATATATTAACTGTTTACATTCCCTTAAGACATAACCGACTGCGAGGATACTCACCAAGACGTGCATTTTAACCATTTTTGTGTGTTTATCCATTCAAGCATATGCTGCAAAAGAGAATGCAGTTCGGTTCTTGGCTTCTTTCTTCTGGTGTTTGCGCAGAGAAAACCGTCAGTGCATGAGTACTGAATTGAGTTCTCTTTCGTGTCTTGAATGTTTAAATCGGCAAGACTTAATTAAGTGGAAATTCGAACCAATTCCGTCAACTGTCCTGAGCGTATTTCATGCTGGTCCCGGTCCGTCGGGCAGCCCTTATTGTCGAGCCCTGTATCTAATCGCTTCCTCTAATCTGTTAGGTGGAAAAATGGACAGTGGGGACCAGAGGGGTCTCACGGCACAGGACGAGGAGACCATGTGCACGTCAGCCTCTGAGGGTCTGGAGGAAGGTGAGGTGGAGGGAGAAACTCTCCTCATTGTGGAATCGGAGGACCAGGCGTCTGTGGATCTGTCTCATGACCAGAGCGGAGACTCTCTGAACAGCGACGTCGGTGAGGACGGAGAGGGGAGCTGGAACGAGGACATGTCGTTCTACTGCGACAAGTGCCACAAATGGATCCCGGCCGGTGAGAAGACCATTAACAAGGGACGACATGTCTGATACACCCATATGTGACCAGTTTTAACATGTGATGTTCAATTTGGGCTGCATTTGTTCACTCAATAAAGACTGATCTGAAAAAAGTGTGCTTGGTCTCAGAGCTGTCTTTTCCTTGATTTTTCCCCCTTGTTTGGTTCAGCTCAGCTACGTGGAGAGCAGCCCAGCTACCTGAAAGGAGACAACTTCTTCAAGTTCACCTGCTCGGATTGTGCGGAAGACGGGAAGGAGAGTTTTGAGAGGATGAGGCTGACCTGGCAGCAGGTATGCACTCGGGAGCAATTGAAATAAACAAAAAAACGTATTTAGTTAGCTTGACAAAAGTATCTGAAAACACATTTCAGGATTTGTCCTGAATGGAAATCTGTGTTTATATACCTAAAATAGCATTACAAAAATGGAAAATCTCATAATTTTCAAATAAAGACTTATGAGATGATTTGATTCTGCATTCTGCTAAAAAAAAAGGTCTGAATTGTTTGATTTTATGCTTATAGGTGGTTATGTTGGCCATGTATAACCTGTCTTTAGAGGGCACCGGACGACAAGGTTACTTCAGATGGAAGGAAGATATTTGTGCATTTATTAGTCGGCACTGGACGTTCCTACTTGGTTCCCGGTGAGACTGAGTATCAAACGTGTTATATTTAGTTTTAAAATCACCTGATTTTTAAAGGCGAGTACGTTTATATTTTATGATTATACATGCTCAGAAAGAAGACGTCCACGTGGTGGAGCACCGTGGCAGGGTGTCTGTCTGTCGGCAGCCCAACATTTTTCCGCTCCGGTGCGCAGGAATTCGGAGAACCCGGCTGGTGGAAGCTAGTCCAGAACCGGCCACCGACTCTGCGGCCCGAGGGGGAGAAAAGCTCTGCGGCCTCAATAAAGGCCAAAGGTAGTAGTTTGGTGAACGTGATTTTACCAAGTACAACATGTTGTTGGATCAACATCTTTGTTGATCCTGGAACAACATTTCAATCCATTTCCAATCCAAGCATTTCCCTCTAGCATTTTGAGCACTGATTCTTAAACACCTCTGATTGGCCATTGTGTTGACACGCTCAACATATATGTCTGATTGGCTATGGCTACAATGTCATCTTTGACGCTTTTCAGCGAGCGTTTGCATAGATACACAGGGGAGCGTTTAAAAGCAGGCGTCTATCAGCAGATCCCTAATAGATCCGCTTCTAGACGGATCAGCTGATAGACGCTGCTTTCAAGCGCTCGATGAAGAGCGTCAAAGACAACATGTTTTTGAAGTGCTGATCATTGCAGCCAGTCACATACATATATGTTGAGCGTGTCAACACAATGGCCAATCAGAGGTGTTTAAGAATCCGTTCAACAGCGCTCAAAATACTAGAGGGAAATGCTGGTATCATCACATTTTTTAAATTTCAGTACCGAAGTTGGTACTTTTGACAACTCTAGCAATGCAGTATATTTTCCTTCATTTTAACCCTAAATGTAACATTTTGGGGTCTGCATGTTGTTATTCCAGCCGTGTCGAAGCCGTCCCTCGACCCCATAATCACTGTGGAGGGTTTGAGGAAGCGTGGAAGTCGGAACCCGGTGGAGAGCGCCATGCAACTGAAAGAAAAGCGTTCCCGAACACAGGAGGCAAAAGAGATCCGGCGTGCACAGAAGGAGGCGGCCGGGTTCCTTGACCGCAGTGCCTCGTCCACACCTGTAAAACTGGGCAACCGTGGGCGGCGCTCGGATCCGTATCTGGAGAAGGGCGAAGTCATTGACTTTTCCTCTCTCAGCTCGTCGGACAGGACCCCGCTCACCTCTCCCTCTCCCTCCCCCTCTCCCGACTTCTCCGCCCCTGGAACGCCCGCCTCACACTCTGCTACGCCCAGTCTGCTGTCAGAGGCCGATCTCATCCCGGATGTCATGCCCCCTCAAGCTCTGTTCCACGGTGAGATGATGCTCATGCTTACTGACCAAACACTTAAGGTGATGATACACAGGGCAACTTTTTGAGCAATGTTGCAGGGCAATGTTGCTGTTAACGGGCAACCAGATGAGACATAGGGCCCACGACCGATCTAAATTATTCAGATATAAATTTATTGTCCATTTTCAATGGGAAAGTGCCCAAGCAACAATCGCTCGGCAAGATTGCCCAGCAACATTGCTCAAAAAGTTACCCTGTGTATCATCACCTTCAGGCCTTGTCCACACGGACACGGGTATTTTTATAACCGGAGTTTTTCCTCCTGCGTTTAAAAAAAAATCCCGCCCACATGAAAACGCGCTATCAAGCGCTGTCAAGAGCATGCGGCGATATAACCCTAACCGTAAAGCCACGTTGGCCAATCAGAAGCCTAACAAAAAGTTATTACCGTTTCCGGTAGGTGGATAACGGCGCACAATCTGATGTCGCAAGGCAAAAACCCCGGTTTTCCTGTCTACACGACAACACTGTAACCGGCGTTTCTGAAAATCCTCACCCTGGCAGGGGTTTTCAAAAATGTTCGGTGTCAGTGAACTGATACTGCGTTTCAGTGTGGACGAACGGCCGAACCGCGTAAAAAAAGTCACGGTTATAAAAATACCCGTGTCCGTGTGGCCAAGGCCTTAGTTACTTTTCTAAACAAACTTAGGCCGTGTGTCCAACAGTTGAAAACGCTTAGCTGTGGGCGCTTGAGGGTTTTGGCAGCGCAGCGTTTTTTTCAGTTGATAAGCAATATCAGCGGAAGTGTTACTATTATCTCATTTCGATACATTGTAAAGTATTTGCTCTGGCTCTTGTTTTAAATTATTTTGTTCCGTTATTTTGCTTGTTGTTTTCATCTGTTGACGTTGTATAAGCAGAATGTGGCGGTTGGTCGGTGTGGTATTTGTCCCGCCCCTCCTCCACTGTGATTGGACGGCTGGGTAAAGAGTAACAGTGATGACCGTTGCGTTTTACCCAAAGTTGAACATTCTTCAACATTCTGAAATAAGACCCTCGTTACGCTCCTGGCGTTTTAAGAACGCGACGCTCCCATTGAAAACAATTGGAAAAATACGGTTTGGTGGACACAGGGCCTTACAGTTTCCACCCGATAGATGCTAAGATGGGCGAAAAGATGGCATAGACTTACCTTGAGGGGTCTTTACCTTGATACCAGGTAGCACTCACATAGTAACATTCTAAGAACCACTCATAACACTCTGTACCACCCTAAATACCCCCTGAGCACCCTAGAAATGCCCTAGTGCCCAACCAGAACACCTTTGCAACACCCTAGTAATGTCCTACCAACCACTCCTTGTTTTATAGCTCATATATTGATATTTTAAACATATATTTGGTAAAAAACAGACTTAGTCGCAGCACCTTCATTCATTTCATCTCTAATCACTGTATGACTTTCCATCAGACGATGAAGAATTGGATGCTGAGGGTGTTATCGACCCCGGGATGGAGTATATACCCCCTCCCAGCATGCCTTTGGCCACTGGCACTATCATGGTCAGGAAAAAGCTACGTCCGGCCGAGCTGATCAAACAAGAACTGGAGAGTGAAGACGAGGAGCGGGGTAGAGATGGCGAGGAAGACGAGGGCCAGGATGAAGGCTTGTTGCCGACGGGACGGGGGTGCGGTATAGAGCGGAGGAAGGTTCTCCAGGATAAGGGTGAGGGTTGCGTGTCTTTGCCCGCCCCTCGTTACACGTTCATCAGCCTTTACGAGGAGCGCATGCTGCTCCACAAGCTAGAGGCCTGTCCGCAAGCGCTGGCCGTCACGCCACAGGCCAAAAGGCTGCATCGCAAGCTACTCGTGCGCCAGGCGAAAAGAGAGCGAGGGCTTCCCCTGCTGGATGTGGATCAGGCCGTGAGTGCTACACTCAGCCTGGTGGGGGGCGTGTACGGGGCACATGGGGGTTTGGCCAGCCACAGGACGAGCAGAGAGGAGAAATACAGAACCACCAGCCAGGACCTTCGTATACTCGATCGCTTTCAGGTAAGCCATAAGAAAACCTGTATGGTACGTAATTTAACTTCAACTGAGAAATTTCGATGTGTTGTGTTTTGTTTTTTCAGTCAACAGTGTCCATAAGGAAAGGGTTCTATCAGCCGACAGTGTCCTTCTGGCACAGGCTAATGGGTTCTGATGCCTGCATGGATCAGACCATCAAGAGTCCCTACACATCCAGAGTGCTCAAGCCATACATCAGGTACACACATGGACACATCTGAGCATTGACTCAATGTTAATTTCTTCTTAATAGAGGCTGTTTGAATTTTTCATATTTTCTTGCTCTTTTGAATGAGATAAAAGGACTATATGTCAAGAAAAGTGGCAAGTCCGTCTTGAAATGTTGCAAATATTTTATACTTATACCATTTATTTGGATTTTTTTCTGTTCTGTTTTCCTATTGCATTCGGGTCAGTGTTGACCCATAAAAACTTTTTTTTAATTAGGTTTTTAGTACAGGAACGAAACTTTGGAAATGGCTTTCAATATACACATCACCTATTTATTTATTTGTTTACCTCAGATTTTTAAAGATTTTTTTTTTAGATATAACCATTTAAAAAAATTTTTTTATATGATGTTGTTGTTTTAATCTTTAAAGTTATTATTTATAAGTATACACAGTGAGATATTTTTAAAAATGTTTTTGAAATGAGCCTTCTCACCAAGGCTGCATTTATGTGACTGAAAATACAGTAAAACAGTAATATTGTGAAATATTACTACAATTTAAAAGGACTGTTTTCTATTTTAAAATTTAAGATCCAATTTATTTTTATGAGGTAAAGCTGAATTTGCAGCATCATTACTCCAGTCTTCAGTGTCACATGATCCTTCAGAAATCATTCTAATATGCTGATTTGCTGCTCAAGAAACATTTCATATTATCAATGTTGTTGTGCTACTTCATATTCATATTTTTGATAAATAGAAGGTTCAATGTAACCAAATTTAGTTGAAAGTGCAAATTAGTGCAAGATTATAAATGTCTTCACTGTCACATTTGATCAATTCAATGCATTTAAGGATTCGTTTCTTTTGAAAAACTATTTTTACTGACGTCAAACTTATGAATGGTAGTAAAATTTAGTATATTCCTAATGACCATGGTTTTCACAAATACACCCCTAGTTGATGTTCAGTCCACCCAAATAATTTATGGAAACTAAGCTGCAAACCTGAGTCACAGTTATGAGCCTTGAGGACATTAACATATGACTCAACCATGTTACAGAATCCTTAGTTTTGTGTGTGTTTGTGTAGGAGAGACTACGAGAGTCGGCCGCTGAAGATGCGTTTACTCTCAGAGGTCCGTGCGTACCATCACAAGAAGGACCCGACTTGGGGAGCTGAACCTGACGCACCTATAGACTACTGCTACGTACGGCCCAATCACATCCCTTCTGTCAACTCCATGTGCCAAGAAATCTTCTGGCCTGGTAATCATCATTTCATCCTGTCAAACACAGATTTTTGGATAAAACTAGTTCCCGAAGGAATAAAAATGGGGTCTTGTGCCCATCAGGTATCGACCTATCAGAGTGCCTCCAGTACCCAGACTTCAGCGTAGTGGTGCTTTACAAGAAAATCGTGATCGGTTTTGGTTTCATGGTGCCAGATGTGAAGTACAACGAGGCCTACATCTCCTTCCTGCTGGTGCATCCGGAATGGAGGCGAGCTGGTATCGCCACGTTCATGATTTACCATCTCATTCAGGTGAGAAACTGAAATCGTGATATGGTTTAGGGTGTCATTTAATTAATTAAATAAATGCGCTGCTCGTTTCAGAACAGCTCATAATTTTTAGCGCATTTTAAATCGCACTTAGATTTTTCCCGCCAAATTGTGCAGCCCTAGTTCATACAGGGATCTCTTTCCTGTCTCGTCTCTGTAGACATGTATGGGAAAGGATGTGACCCTTCACGTATCGGCGAGCAACCCTGCCATGCTGCTCTACCAGAAGTTCGGCTTCAAGACAGAGGAGTACATCCTGGACTTCTATGATAAATATTACCCGGTGGACAGCAAAGAGTGCAGACACGCATTCTTCCTGCGCTTGCGCCGCTGAGGACGTCGCACGATGCACACACAAACTGGAAACAGTCTGAAATGTAAGTCAGGGAGTGTTTGTTGGTGTTTTCACAGTCATATTTGTTGCGTTACTTCCCGTTCGAGGCTTAGTTTGACATGCTATTTCATTTTATATGTGGTTCGATGTTTAAAACAAAGCGAAGGATGTTTTGTTTCTCTGTATACACACCGTGATGATAACTCTCTTCCTCCTTTAATGCGTCTTTTTTGTAGTTAAAAAAATTGGTGTTTATTTTTAACACTCACGTTTTTGTATGCACACACATTATAAAAATGATGCCACCTGTTAAATTAAATATTGAAATGTTCAATATTGTGTTGTTTTTTTCTTTTTCTTGTTAAAGCTGCATTCAGTAATTTGGTGCTAATATTAAAAGTTCTACACATTTTGAAATGAATTGCATTTTTGTGAAGAGTCATCTGAATTGTGTTCACTCACATGAGATGAAGTCTACTCGTAATAGATTTTTTTCTATGAGTACAGTAAGTGTTTTAATTATACAGTATATGGTGCAGGTCGGAGAAAATCCTCACGCTCATTGGCTGCCGCCTTTAGATGCGCCAATAGCGCAGTGTAGTTTGCAAAGAGCGAAAATTAGACAACAGAACACAATTATAATCTTGCTTCATCAACAGAAACAATGGGAGAATCAGTACCTGTACAGTCTCAAAAAAACGTATAAAGACAGACGAGACAAAAAAAATGTGTGTAATTAACGGTACGGCATACACACAATGAAACCAAGTTGCTGCATTTTCTTGAACACGTAAGGAAAGGAAATGAAACTCACTAGTTATAAGTGTAATTTAAATAAATTTCAGAGATTTTAATTCAGCGTTGTTCTGCGAGCTTTCGCGGGCGAAATCCAGTACTTTCAACAGGAGTCCATGTGATGGTGAAGACTGTATAGCAAGGACATCTTGGGAGAGATGCAATGCATTCAAGTTGTTTACGCAAATTTGCCGCATTAAAGGGATTTTGGATTCACCAAAATGTTTTCATTCTTTCATTAATTACTCACCCTCACGACTTTCGTTCCATCTTGGGAACACAAATGAAGATCTTTTTGATGAAATCTAAGAGATTTCTATCCCTCCATTGGCAGCTACGCAACTGATACTTTGACGCTTTAAAAAGTTCATAAAGCTGAATTGTATGGTTTAGTCCAAATTTTCTGAAGAGTCACGATCATTTTATATGATGAGCATTCAATTTAGGCTTTTATTCACATAAACATTCATAAACATGTGGTAAATGGAAGTGCAAGCAAGTTTGCTTGACGTGCGAGAACCAATGAGGTTCATTCTCGTGTTACACAGCACGTTTGAGCTTCCGCTAGAACCAAAGAGGTTTGTTTTCGCGCGCTAAGCAGGTTCGGTTGAGCTTTTGTTTATGTTCACTGATTATGTGAATAAAAGCATAATTTTAATCTTTTTAAAAGCCTAAATTCAATTTGTTAATCATAATGTTTCTTCAGAAAATTTGGACCTAACCACTTGATTCATATGGATTAGTTTTACAATCTCTTTATGAACTTTTTGAAGAGTCAATGCAGGCACAGAAAGCTCTCAGATTTCATTAAAAAGATCTGTATTTGTGTTTGAACGAAAGTGTTACAGGTTTGGAACGACATGAGGGGTGAGTAATTAGAATTTTCATTTTTGGGTGAACTAACCCTTTAACCAACAGAAAGCTGTGTGTGACCTGTGTGTGCTTCATATATTGCTACACTAATAATGCCAATAGACCTTTTTTGCCTGCAAAATTTTGCTAATGTGACCCCAAACTAACACCGTTGTTGTATCGCTTGAAGAAGAGTACATGAAGAGGACAAATATTAATGCTAGAAGTTAGAACTACTGAATAATGCATCTATTTATTCACTGTATTTCTTGTAAACAGTGACAATCAGGAATTCAGATTGATTTAGAACAGCTAAGGGGGTTTTAGGCACGACGTGGAACAACACCCCTTAGCTGGGTAACTCATAATGATCAAATCACATCAAATATATTTAGAAATAAGAATTTTGCATCTATATGGTCCATTATAAATGTTTGGTCCATATGGCTGTAATAAGCAATAATTTGTTTTGAACATGCCAGTTTTGCTGGTGAGATGTGTATCTTGACTTATTTTGGTTCAGATGGAAATTTTAAATCCAGGACCTAAACAAATCTCCAAGTACTGTATTGCACTGATTAGATTTGGTTTGAGTGAAATGTGGATTGTCTCATGAGAACGTATCCAGTCCAGACACGCTCCTGGCCTTGGTGTGGCGCTGTAGCAGACCCTGTCCCATGTGAGCTGCCATTAGAGAGACCACAGAACTGCTTCCGGCGGCCACGGCAATACCATACGCCGTCTGGCCCCGATCATTCTGCTTTCTGATACTTGCGTTACACCTATACAAGACCAAGATATTTTTTTTTAAATCAAGCCTTTGTAACTTTAACACCGTTTGTGTTTGTGAATCTCACCCCATGAGTATCTCAACGCTCTTCAAACCTTCATTTCCCAGAGCTGCCGCCTCATGCAGGGCCGTGTTATTTAACCTGCGACCAACACAGATGATACAAATAGTAGTTTAGCTCAGTAGTTTAGCTCAGATTATTACTGGGCATATCAAAATTAGCTTGAAGCTTGTTTTCGAACTCACGGTCCAGATGCTTGGTTAACGTCGGCTTCTCTCTGCACCAGCACAGGAATGACATCATGATGCCCGTTTAGCACTGCAGCAACCAGAGCAGGATGCCCATCACTTCCCAAACATGCTGGATCAGCACCCTGCAGAGACGCATTTAAAACACACCTTTTACAAGTTTATACAGCTACACAATTAACCCTTTGAAAGCTTGTTTCCATCACGGAATAAAAAAAAAAAAAGATAATTACTGACTTTTATAACTTTTTTCTCTTAGAATTGTTAGATATAGTCTAGATTAGTAATACAGTTAGAATTGCGAGATAATAAACTCGCAATTGCAAGAAAAAAAGTAAACACTTTTTGCAAATATTGGTAATTGCGACTTTATATCTCACAATTTTGACTGTATAACTCACATACAATTGCAAGTTTACATCTTGTAATTCTGACTTTATTTCTCGCAATTGCAAGTCTATTTCGAGATTTCCCGATTCTTCTTGATTTTGCCTACAAACATTGTGAGCGCACCTTAAAGGGTTAGTTCACCCAAAAATGAAAATGTACTCACCCTCATGTTGTTCCAACCCCGTAAGACTTTCGTTCATCTTCGGAACACAAATTAAGATATTTTTGATTCAATCTGAGAGCTGGATCAACACAGAAGCTTTGCGCAATTACACTACGTGAAGTCACTCGAGGCCCACAGAGAAGAAAAGTAATTGTTGAAAAAAGTTTGTTATTTTGGGGGTTTTTGGCGCACAAAAAGTATTCTCGTCGCTTGATAAACTTAGGATTTAACCACTGTAGTCACTTGGACTATTTTAACAATGCCTTTAATAATTTTTCTGGGCTAAAAAGTTTCAATCCCATAGAAGTCTATGGAGGAGTGATCCAGCTCTCAGATTTAATCAAAAATATCTTAATTTGTGTTCCGAAGGTGAACGAAAGTCTTACGGGGTTGGAACAACATGAGGGTGAGTAATTACTGACAGAATTTTAATTTTTGGGTGAACTAACCCTTTACGTCATCTGAAGCTATGAATTTTGCTGTGATTGGTTCTTTAGCCTCACCTCATCCAATAGCTGCTGCACCACTGAGATCCGGCCCCGCCCCTCAGGCCCCACCTCCTTAAGGAGAACACTGTCTTTAGACTCCTGAGAAAGACATTAACATTCTAATCTTTGTCTTATAAATGAAAAGGGTTATTATGTCAGTGTTAGTGTGTGTGTGTGATGCTGACCGACTGCTTTTCTGTATCGTCTGAGGTCCTGATCTTTTTCTGCTTCTTTCTTTTGGCTGATAATCCTGTTGTATTAATGTTACTCTCTGTACAAACAACATATGAAACAAAAGAATAGTCATAATTATCACTTTGATAATTTTCTATTAATGAATAAATAATAAATAGATGTATCAAAAAGAGTAGTAAGAGAGACAAATGCACATGAAAAATATGTATTATTTTAATAATTAAGATGGCATTAATAATTGAAAATATTAATAATGAAAACAATAAATATTACAAGGGCTAATATTTTATTACTAATGTAAATTATTCTATAGTTAAATCTTAATAATAATAATATTTTTTATATTTCTCTTGCATGATTAAGTTAATACATGGGGCCAGTCAAAGGGACCTCACCATGAAAATGGCTTAATAAGCATACTAGACAACAATACAATGGCTTAGTGAACATTTACAAGACAATGATGAACAAAAACAATGAAAAGTTGTTCCTTAGTAGTTTTCGTTTACAGACACTGTTGTCAAAGCGTTCCCCGTTCACACGGACCTGTGAAAACAACTAAAACGCTGTATTATGCTGCCAGGCCAGTAGTTGGCGATGTCACTGTCAAGAAACACTATAATACACACCTATAGACTGAATGTAATACGCATGTAGAATGTAATATGCATGCGCATGACGTCACCGCTTTCATAGTTTACACGAAGACGATAACGGTATCGCTTTAAAAAACTTTTTTAGTTGAAAACAGTGTCGTGTAAACGGCCTATTAATGACATTTGTTTGAAGCTTAGTAGGCAATAGAAAATACCATTAGTTCAGTATAACAGCAGAAGTCAACGGAAACATGACAGAAAACCAATCATGTGTTTTTTACCTGGACTGGCTGAACTCTTGCCTTCTGTCACAGCACTGAGGTTCAGACTCTCTGATCCCACAGATCGGCTCTGCTGTCCTGCAGAAGACGACTGGAAAAAGACAACACACACACGCTGAAACACATGCAATGCTCAAGAGACTCTCTTCAGACTCAATATAAAAGCTCTCAGGAGTGTTTATTACCCTGGATCCCTCCGGTGAGGCACAGATGAAATTGATGTGCAGACTGACTTCATAGCTGTCCTCCTGAATAACAGCAGAGATCATCTGGAGAGCAAAAACATATTCAGGATATGCAAATATATATATATATAAAAAACAAAAAACAGGAATAAAATAAAAAAGTATATAAAATGAATAACAATAACAGTAGTGCAAGTAAATAAATACATTTTAGGAATAAAAAATACATGTAAAAAGTATCAATTTTAGTGGTCCTACTCTGCCCAGCCGAGGTTCTCCAATCAGAGCTCTGAACTCATTATTATTCTGAGTGTAACTGCGCAGATGAGCGCAGATGTGGTCCACCTGCTTCCTCCAGAACCCTGAATTACACATACAATAAAAGCAAATACAAAAAGTCATGCATATTTATTTGTTTCGAAAAATAAAATCGTATTGTAAAGTAGCCTACCTCGGCCTGGACTAATGGCAGTGAGGACGGGCTTCCTGTCACTCATCTGTTCCTGTCTGCTAAGCTCCGCCTCCCTCTGTTGGCTCTGTTTTTTCAGCTCAGTGCTGGATGGGAAAAACAGACCGACTGTCTGCGTCTGTGCATCTGCACACGTGCGCAAACCCGCAGCTGGAGGCACGGTTGTAGATTCAGGCGCAGGAACTCCCTGCCAGGTGGCTGAGGGCTATGTGAGAAAGAGTGAGAGAGAGAATGATATAACACACTGTAGGTTTTTCATGAGCGCCAAACAGTTTGTGTGCTGTACCTGATCAGCTTCCTGTGCGTCCTGTCCCTGGTTTACTTGTGAGGGCGTCCTGGGTGGGCCGTCCAGGAAGACACCACAGACACCACAGTGATTAGCATACGGGTGGCTGCTAGCTCCACACTGAGAACACGTCACGGCGCTGGCTTTGTGGCCGGGCTGCATGTATACACAATGATATTTTGATGAAAAAAATCTCTTTATTATAATTAACACCAAATTTCTAGTCGTTCTAAACCGTTCTGAGAGAAAACAGATCGAAAAGGACATAAAGAACCCATGAAACTGCTTCATGACACAGTTGCTTTCCAACGTTCTATTGAAACGGGAAGTTGAGGCGTCACATATCAAATGGCTCTAGTCGGTGCCTGATTAAAAATAATAGTAAATGTTTTTGTAGTTTTAAGCCAGGGACACATCAAGCCAACGGTCAGCCGTAGGGCAACGTCAGGCTGTGTTTGAGCGTCGGCTGACTTAGGTTTTTCGATGTGTTCCCCGCCGTTAACTAGTCGGACAACGTTGTTTTTTTTGGGGGATATTTGACAGCTTTCTGTTGGCTAACACAACAAATCCTTGTGACCAACTTGAGCCCGTTGTGAAATCTGCATGGGAAAATCTTCCTTCAAATGTAAAAATTTGCCGAACAATGGTAAATGTCACTGAACGTTTAAAGTCCCCATGATATCAAAATGTAAAGTTTTTTGTCACCTTTGCACCACACCAGTCGCAGAATCGAGCATCCGAGTGGTTGACTCTATTGCACTTGGAGCAGGAGACCATTTTGCCCTGTGAACTGGGTACAGGTGCAGCTCTCTGTCCACTTAAAATGGGCTGTGGAATGATAAAGCACCATTATAACCACTGTAGTGTCCTATCACAATCCTAGTAATGATTCAGCAGACTTCTGATTGGCTAAGGAGACTATGCTGATTTCTGGAAGGCGGGGCTCTTACTGTGGTTTGCTGAAGCAGCTGGGATTCACAAGTGACACAATGTGTGATGTGAGACGGGTTTCCTGTCCCACACGAGCCACAGATTAATTTATCCTAGAATAATAGTGATACAATATACTGATTTAGTTTAATGAATCCATTTAATTGACTCAGGATTGATCCTCTACGGATAGACATTTACCAGTAGTCTCAGACTAGCCTGCGGCTGCAGTTGTTGAGCCAATGGAGACTCGCACACCACACATGTGGCCGTATTGAGAGGCACCATGGTTTTACAGTGCACGCATAGACCCATCTGTGAAAAAGCACAGCAAATACTCATATTATTGGGAAATTATTACTGATGATCTGAATATCACGGTATTGTGTAGTAACAAAGTATGAATTACCTGTCCTCCTTCAGTAGGGGGGAGTCTTTGACCTGGTATTGGGGGTACTGGTGATCCACAGTGCAGACAGAATCGGGCAAAAGGGTCTGAAGGGCGATGATTCAGGCACTTTGGACATCTTCAGAAAGATATTGTACACACACACACAATTTTCAGCAGTCATTACTCCAGTCTTCAGTGACCTGATCCTTCAGATATCATTCTAATATGCTGATTTGCTGTTCAAGAAACATTTATTTATTATTATCAATGTTGAATACAGTTGTGCTGCTTCATATTTTTTTGGAAACTGATACACTACCATTCAAAAGTTTGGGGTGAGTAAGATTTAAAAAAAATAATAATAATAATATCATTTTTTTTTATGGTTAATGGAACGCAATACATTTTATGGTCCTACGCCCTTCCACAGATGAGATATATACATGCAAATAAATACATTTAGATCACTTAACTTAGTGATTTCTATCAGGATGTAAAGAGACTTTCAATCCGCATAACAAAAAAAGATTCTGGAACAAATAACCACCCTGCCTTTAAATTGATCAAAAGTGTCATTTATATTGTTACGAAAGATTTCTATTCTTCCTATTCCTCAGAGAATCCTGAAAAAAAATGTATCACAGATTTCAACATTGATAAAATATGAAACATTATTAGTAATTGAGCACCTTTAATATTTTCTAATAATTGAGCACCAAATCAGCATATTAGAATGATTTCTGTAGGATCATGTGAAACTGAAGACTGGAGTAATGATGCTGAAAATATAGCTTTGCATCACAGGAATAGTTATTTTAAATTGTAATAATATTTCACAATATACATTTTTTACTGTATTTTTTATCAAATAAATACAGCTTTGGACACTTCAAAGAGACACTTCAGAAACAAAATAACTTAAACAGGAGATGTTATTTTGAGCATGAAATTATTTAATTGTTAATATAAGTATGTACTATGTATGTAACTGAGGCCAGCTAGTAAAAGTTGTGCATGTAAACCTCACTCCCCTCAAGAGGCGCACTAGCGACTGACACTACAGACTGTGGCCTTTAGTGGTCTTGTATGTCCACCAGCCTCCCATGCCGGAAACATCAGTTTGAATCCCGCTTGGAGCAGTGCGAGTAGAACCGGAGGGGTTATATTGGTGCCGTGACCCGGATGGGAGTGAGGTTTAGGGGGTGATTGTAACAGAGGCCAGCTAGTAAGAGCTGTGGGTGTTAACCAAGCGGCAACATTCTAATCTGAAAAATGAAGCCTACCCGGAAGTGCGAAAAACTGCAATACATCGAAAATCCGCTAGAGGGAGGTCCCAAAAGGGAGCAAATCTCCATAGACCCGGATGTTAAAATGTCAGTTTTCCCAGCATAAATTCATGTTTTTACAGGTTGGTCCCATGGACTTTTATTGTATTTTTCGATAGGTTCCGAGTGCCTGACAACTGTGAGGGGGGTGAATTTTTTTCTAGTTTAGATCGTATTTAGATATAAAATGTATGACAAATAAGCGCGTGATTGACAGCTGATAACGGGCTGCGCCGAGTGGAATTCCTGAAATTTGACGTCTCGGCCATGATCTGACACAACACATCATACCACCTCTGTATCCTTTCTGAACATTTGTATTTGAAATATCGTAAGATTTTCCAAGATGGCACCGCCCATACCCCCCATAAACAGCCTCAAAACCGTTCTTCAGAAAGTCTATGGGTGACGTCACAGACGCTTTGTCCATATTTTTTAAAGTTTATGGTGTTAACCTCACTCCCCTGGCCACAAGAGGTGCACTAGAGGCTGCAGACTTTAGCGTCCTTGTTAGTGGACCTGCATCCCATGCCGGAAACGCCGGTTCAAATCCTGCTCGAAGCGGTCCGAGTAGAAACAGAGGAGTTACATATATTATCTACTAAATAATTTCATTCTCAAAATAACATCTCTCCCTCTCGCTCACCTAAGGAAATCCGTCTCTCTCTGAATCCGTGATGTCTGAGTGCTTGTCAAGCTTCTTAAGGGACTTTCCACAACATCTGCACTCTGGTTCTAGAGGGATTGAGAATGTTGACGTTAAACAGGAAGTTTCAGTTTCAGTTTCAGTGAGGGTTGTCGGAGAGTGCTTTGTGTATGTTGTAAACCTTTACTTGGTTTTCAACTGTCAGCCGTGCAGATGAACCGGGGCCGAGACGCTGTGAGAGGAATCGAGGACCTTTCAGAGCTCTTCGAGATTCACTACTGGGAATATCTGACATAAAAGAATGCAAAAAAGGCACAAGAAAGTCAAAGGACATGTAACTGAGTATGAATTCTGAGATTAACAATTATTTTTAAATCATGGATTATACATATCTTTTTAAACTCTCAAGCAATGTTCAGGTCTTATTTCCCATCAAAATCAAGAGAAAAGTAAATAATCTTTCACATAAAGAAAATATAGAAGCCTATATTTAAGTTTTTTTTTTGTTGTTGCATTGTTACATTGTTTTCATGTCAATTTATGACATGGCACATTAAAACTCCCTTGCCCAAATAGCCTACTGAAATGTGAATATTATTATTCTCATTACCGTAATGCAGGAAAATAATAATAATAATTTGTGATAAATGCACACTGACTTAAACCAAATGATTTACCTAAAAATTGAATAGAGGAAATGCCAGCTCCATTTTCGCTCCCCTTCAAATTCTTTGATGAATCCTGTTCAACATAAAGTAATGTTTACATATTCCTAAATACATGCAATGTTATTACGGGGGGAAAAAATCCATAATGGGTTTAAAACTGACATTCTTGCCATTGATCGGTCTGCCATTCTTCAAAGAGTCCTCCTCATGATCCGTAGTCTGATCCTCATCTGAAGCAGGATCCACTATGAAAAGCTTGGTGACGACAGCACTCTGTCGGCCATCGCTGCATTACATTATAAATGGTCATTATTTGGGTCAATTTGAAGTCAAATTTGTTGCTGGGTGTTTCCCCACCAGGGCATTTTTTACTTTTAGAAAATAAACTCTCTCGCGCATCAAACAAGAATTCTGTGGTTTTTATTTAATTTTTCGGAATATTTCCACCCCATTTTAAATAATGTGTTTAATAGCATTCGGTTACGGAAATGACAGTGACAGAAATGACATTTGACACATTTTTGGAATAGAATGGAAAACTCTTTTGTCTGGCACGTCTTCATACAGAACAGAGCTCTTAAAGTAACATGGTGAAGGAAAAATATGAGATGGAAGGGGAAAATTATATTTCAATGCTTTTGCATTCTCTCGCAAAAGTTTTGTGTTCCCCCGAGAAAGTTTGTCTTTGTTGGCAAATAACTAAAAGTTTTGCGAGTGAGCGCAAAGTTTCTTGAGGGAATGCAAAACATTTGCGGGAGAATAAGCATTGACATTTTCTCCCAATGCTTTTCCCATCAACATGTCCCTCAGGGGCTCCATACTGTATAGGGACATGAGGATAGTAAAAAAAATAAATTGATGGGAATAATTTTTTTTAATGCTTTTGCATTTCGCAGATAAACTTTGTGTTCACTCGCAAAACTTTTGGGATGAGGTGGAAAAACAAAATTTCAGTGCCTTTGCAAAAGTTTCTCAGAGGGACGCAGATGTGTTGCGAGTGAAACAATTTTACGACCAAATGCCAAGTTTGTCACGGAAAAGCAATACTTTTGCTAGAGAATGCAAAGTTTCTTTAGAGAACACATTACTTTTGTGAGGTAACGCAAACGTTTTGCAAGGGAACACAACACTTTTGAAAGAGAACAAATTTTGGGAGCGAACACGAAGTTTGTCAGGGAAACACAATACTTTTGCTAGAGAATGCAATACTTTTGTGAGGTCACGCAAACGTTTTGTGAGGTAACGCAAACGTTTTCTAAGAGAACGCAAAGTTTTCCAGGGGAACTTCTATACTTTTCTAGAAGCAAAGTTTCTCTAGATAACGCAATAGTTTTGTGAAGTACAAAAACATTTAGCAGGCGAACGCAAAGTTTGTCAGGGAAACGCAATACTTTTCTAGACGCAAAGTTTCGTTAAGATTACGCAATATTTTTGTGTGGTAATGCAGATTGTCAACGCAATACTTTTGAAAGGGAACTCAAATATTTTGTGAGCGAACGCAAAGTTTGTCGGGGTTAAGCAACACTTTTGAAAGAGAATTCAAATATTTTTGCAATCGAATCCAAAGTTTGCAAGGGGAACGCATTTTGTTTTGTGAGGTAACGCACAGTTTCTCAGGGGGACGCAATACTTTTGCGAGAGAGCGCAAAAGTTTTGTGAATGCAAAAGCATTGAAATTTTTCCTCCCATCTTTTCTAACGCCATGTCATCTTAGGGGCTCTGTATGGTTTTGGAATATAAATAAATACATTCAAGGCAAAAGTAGTAAGTTCCAAGACAGTTTTAATGTAATGCACAAAATATAATAAAAATAAATCTCTTAGTTTTAATAAAAAAAATAAAAAAAACCGGCCCTGGGACATAATTATACCCATAGTTGAAGAAACACCCAGCAACGTTATAAACAACACACTATAAAATGTACCCACGCGGTGACAGCCATGGCTCTCACAGACACTTTCCCCACAGGTAAGCGAATAGGTTCAGTGAACTTCATAGTGCTGTTGCCAGAGCCCGGTCTCTTCATCTCCTCAGGCTTACTGCCATCCAGCGTGTACAGCAGCACACTCACATCAGAGGATTCTGGGATACATGTGCCATATATCAATCACATGACGAGCAACAACAAGCGTGTGTTAAAACCGCACTGACTCACCTGATCTGATCTCTACAGGAGTGCAGGAGTCAATCTCATGCTTGGCTTTACCTGGAGGAGGCATGCGAATGGGAATTATTTGAGGTGCTGCCACTGAACCTGCTGTCATGTTTGCACTCTTCAACCTGCAATATATCGGAGGGAAAATACATTTGTACAGAACTACAGATGCGTTTAATTCAGCACGTGCATTAAAAGGTGAAGTACATTAGGCTATAGAAAATATGAGCTACTATCCTGACTATTTGTGTGTTTTAAGTAGCTCGAACCTGTAAAAATTTGAACCACAAACAAAATGAACGTTGCGGAAATACTCGCAGTGCACCGCTGTATCCAACGACGCTGTAAAGATACACGAAACGCTGTTGAGTCGTCACGTATCCCATAGCAACTGAACAGCCTGGTACGCATGCGCGAACCCCCTTTGGATAAATAATCCAAAAGTTCTGAGATAGTGCGTTTTTGACAAAGCACATTAAATATGAGATGATATGAGATATAAAACTTACACTGTATGGTTGTATCACTGTGTTGTTGCGTTGATTTAAACACTTCAATACAATTAAACGTTTTCTTTGTAACTTGTGTTAGTTACAGTCCATTTACTGACTGTCGGATTCATATTGCATAGAAAAATGGAAACGCTTGTCAAAATAATGATTTACTCAGCTATTCTGACCTTGAGTTATGCCTGCAAAATAACTAGTTTAACCCTCGCAGGAGGCCACAGGGAAGTGCTAGGGGCCCTAAAACAGTATAAAAATACATAAATAATAAGATTAAAATAAATAAATAACAAAAATATGAAAATAAACGCAAAAAAGATTAAAAAAAAATACCAATTAAAAATAATGGGATAAATATAATTGTAATATTAATGTCATCATGGCAACAGAGGAGTTACAAGCAGAAATGTGAAAGACTATATTTACCTAAAGTGAAAACAAGAATTATTATTTATTATAAATTCTACATTTAAAAAAAAATGTAGAATACTACATAAAAGTGTCTACATTTTTTTATTTTGTGTGAGCTAATGCTTCCCCCTACAGGCCAGTTATGCATTTCTCAATAATGCATATGAAACGAAACATAATACAGAACACATTTTGTATAGATAAGTATGTATTATGTATTTAATTATGTATTTCATAAGATATGTCCGTCAATGGCAATGTAAACACACTGATGCTTCATTTTAGTTTTTCCCACAAACCCAACCTTTTTAACAGAAATGCCTGCTTGTTTATTTAATTATTCTTATAAAAGAAGATAAGTGTCATTAGGAATCTGCTTTTTTTTTTTTTAAATTAATGCAGTAGAGTTTAGAGGTTAGAGATGCACAAATACACACAGTCCAATACATCCAATATCATATATATATATATATATATATATATATATATATATATATATATATATATATATATATATATATATATATATATATATATATATATATATATATATTTATTGATATGGTTCAGGCATTTTAAAATGCATATATCAGTATAGGAGAAGTAATAAGGATTACCAAACAAACACGAAAGAAATAAAAACAACAACAACAAAAAATTTCTATGATGCTGAATGTCATTGAACAAATAACAACACCCGATGTTTTATATTAATTCTTCTCGTACTCCAGCAAAGTAGGTGGCGGTATGAAGCTTTTACTTGGTTCGCAATCTGCTTGTCTTTGTTGCCATGTCTTTCTTTTATTCGTGTCTTTGCATTTGTTTGGTTATAAATATTGTAAATCGCGTTTGTGGAATTTATCGGCATACTTCCAGATTAAGGAGTTAACGACAAAAATAGCTTATTTTCACTTATTCAGAAGAAGAAAGTCGCTAATGTTTGCTAGTGTTTGCTAAAGCGTTTGCACGTTTATTTGGAGCGATCTGGCAACCCAGCCGCCTGTAAACTCTCCCCGCCTACCGCGAGACTTCATGAGTGCAGACTGACATTCTACTACAGCGTTTCACTTCAACTTCAAATGGATATATGAATGTATTATTACTATTATTGTTGACATTTGACTTTCTCCTCAAGTTATTCCTTTCGCATGAACAATGACAGAAGTTAAAGTAAAAAAAGAGTCAACGGACCCTGTAGATATCGAGAATCGGTGAGTTCAGCGCAGTTTTAACATGCGAGTCTTGGCCTGTAAACACAACATAACGCGTGGATAGATTTGTAGAAGCAATTAAAGTTAACATCAAAGCTATTTTGTAGACTTTGTTTATTGTAAGTACTTGAGTTAATGGCAAAACGAACCAAGTTTAGATCCAGAAGATGAGCGTCGTGGTAATGATATGTGAATGTTTTAATGTTGAGAAAGTTTAAAGGGATAGTGCACCCAAAAATGAAAATTCTGTCATAATTTACTCACAAAAACAACAACAACAAAATACTATGAAAGTCAATGGGGTCCATCAACTGTTTGGTTACTGACATTCTTAAAAATATCTTCTTTTGTGTTCAGCAGAAGAAACAAACTCTTACAGGTTTGGAACACTTTGAGGGTGAGTAAATGATGACAGAATTTTCATTTTTGGGTGCACTATCCCTTTAAGTGTTTTTGGTCAGAATTAAATGTTCAGTTTTGATCTTTCTTTTTGAGCTAACTGAGACAGGAAGATTTTTATCACCCTTTTAACATAACGAAGAGCAAAGGAATGTTTTTTTGTTGTTGTGCTTTGCAGAGAATTTCGGCAAATGTAGTGGATATTGCTCAAGGACCTTATTTTTTCCTCTATTAAAGGATAAAAGAGCTGTGTCAGCAGTTTCCACAAGGGATCACAGACCAGGTCATCCAGAATGACATGCCGCACGTTGAGGCGCAGCAGCGAGCCTCGGCCATCAACAGACTGCTGTCTGTGGTGAGATGTTCAGCTCCAGCTGACGGTGCATGAAACACGTGTCTCTGCTCTTTATACTCATGTGTGATTCTTCATTTCTGTTCTCAGGGTCAGTTAGACTTGCTCAAGAACAGCAATGGCCTTTTATACAGGCTTAAAGATCTTCAGTCTGCAAGGTTTGTCTCTTTAAATGCAAGCACATCATCTTAATTTGCTATATATAAATTTGTGTGTGTGTGTGTGTGTATATATATATATATATATGCTTGTGTGTGTGTGTTTTATAAATGTGCATACAAGCTTAATGAATTCAATTATTTATATATATATATGCACAGAAATTTAAATGTAAAGGCATTAAAATTCATTTTAAAATTTTATTATGTATAATTTATGCATTTATTTTTTCACAGTAAAGTAAAAGGCTCCGATAACCAAGAAAAACTAGTTTACCAAATCATAGAGGATGCTGGGAATAAAGGTAAAATGCATTTATTTATTGTTTGTGTTTAGCATTGTGTCAAGCATTGTTAAGCGACTGATCTATCTATATTGATAGAGTTTATTTTTAATTGCTTTTTCTGTTTTCTAAAGGAATTTGGAGCAGAGACATCAGATATAAGAGTAACCTTCCACTCACAGAAATCAATAAGATCCTCAAGAATCTTGAGAGTAAGAAACTCATCAAAGCGGTGAAGTCTGTTGCAGTGAGTTGATCTCCAAACATTTAGACGTTTAAAATGTTTAATTTACCTTAGACCTACTGAAAAGTCTTGGATTTTTCCCATCCAGGCCTCTAAGAAGAAGGTCTACATGCTGTACAACCTGCAGCCGGACCGATCTGTGACAGGAGGCGCCTGGTATAGCGATCAAGATTTCGAGTCCGAGTTTGTTGAGGTTCTCAACCAACAGTGCTTTAAGTTCCTGCAAAGTAAGGTTAGATTGTAATGTTTCATATTCCTCTTAATCTTTGTGATCTTGCATTTTTCACACTTTGAATTCTGCTCTTTCCTCGTTACCATAAAAAAAAAGGGACCAGTCAGTGCCAACATTTAATAATTTTCACAAAAATGTCATGGCCCCCAGAATATTTTGTTGTATGAATATCGCAACATACGATATATCAAAATAAAGAACAGAGCCTCTGCTTTTAAACAAAAAAACAAACATTTTATGCATACATTTTGAACAAAAAAACAAGAAAAGACTACATCCGGATCTGATTCAGAACAATGATCAAAAGATATAACGGGTAGATGAAGTCCATCAACACCCCCAAAGCTTCACAGTCCTATACATCTTCCTGGGCTCGACATTTCATTCGGTAACATTAGGCAGTTTTGATTTATATGATGATTAATGTTTGCTGATCGCATTAGCTTACCTATGCGTAAACAATGCTTTTATCGCATGTTACTTCTGCTTTGCCTGTGTTTTGATCTGAAGATTTTGTACTATTTCAGAAGAGGTGTAATAGCGCCCCCTACCGTATAACAGTGAAAACATGAATTGCTGGAAATTGTTGTGTCATCATAAATGATAGGGATGTCCCGATCAGGTTTTTTTGCCCTCGTCGAGTCATTTGATTTTGAGTATGCTACCGATACCGAGTCCCGATCCGATACTTATAATACATAAAAAAAGAATAAAGAAGAGAGAAAAAACCAGAGATGGGGGACTCGAGTCACATGACTTGACTCGAGTCGCAAATTTAAGGACTTGAGACTTGCTTGACTAAATTAAGAAAATGACTCGACTTGACTTTGACTTGAGATCCAATGACTTGAGACTTGACTTGACTTGAACTGTATGACTCGAGAATGACTTGATATACATTTTTATATAAATCATCGCAACATCCATTGATAAACAAAATGAAAGCAACGGAACCATTGACGTCAGTCATCAGATTCTGCGCGATTGCGTGACGCTGCACAAGCCCAGAAATAGCCTACATCCCGGTGAGCGCGCTAAATACAAAAACATCTCCCTGCATCGTATCTTTTTGGATATAAACACTAGAAAATTACCATATTCATGCAAGAAGATTTGTTGTACGCATAATAACTGGCAAGGGATATCGGACGACCAACCTCGAACAGTCGAACTTCATTCACCACGTCTAAAAGTAAGCTATGGCTTGTTTAACCTGTTTGTTATAGTTAATTTGACTATCTTTAAATCTAGAGAGAATAATATTGGTCAAAACAGCATGCCTCTTTATACACAATTATGTTTTCAAATGTAGCTTAATGTTGTCAATATTT